GGGTCACAGCTCTGCCAGGGGTTTGCAGCCTCCAGAGGGGGATTCTTCTTCCTGGAGACCTTCCCAGGGACAGTCCTGTCCTGGTTTTGGGCTGCTGCTTTGCTGGATTCCATAGTTTGCTTCCCAGGTGGAGTGAAGTGGGGATAATTCCATGCCCAGAGACAGCTCAGTGCCCCTCTGGGCTGTTTCCCTGCAGGGATGAGACCTCAAGGGTTCAATAAAAACCAAATTAATGAGTATTTTCTCCTTTGCATCTTCCTCCAGAGACAGCTCAGTGCCCCTCTGGGCTGTTTCCCTGCAGGGATGAGACCTCAAGGGTTTCAATAAAAACCAAATGAATGAGCATTTTCTCCTTTGCATCTTCCCTGGAGAGTGTGGATGATGTCTATCCCATAATCCCTGTGCAGCTTGAGGTCATTTCCCTGCTCCTGGAGATCAGCCCTGGCCTGTGCTGGGTTTATTCCTGTCACTGGGCTGGGCTTTGTGTTCACCTACTGTGGAAAACCTTGAAAAGTCTCACTAAACCAGAGTTTTTTGCAGGATAATGACCTTTGGCTCAGAAAAACGGGCTGCTGAGCTCAATTAATTAATTAAATTCATTTGAGGGGAATGGTTTTCCATGGACAGGGGCAGGGAGAGATGGGATATTGGGAAGGAATGAGGGTGGGGAGGCCCTGGGTGGATTTCCCAGAGCAGCTGTGGCTGCCCCTGGATCCCTGGATGGCCAGGCTGGATGGGGCTTGGAGCAGCCTGGGACAGTGGAAGGTGTCCCTGGGGTGGAGTGGGATGATCCTCAAGGTCCCTTCCCACCCCAACAATTCCATGGTTCCAAATGTGGTTGGATGTGGATTTTTGGAACAGAAATTCCATATTTGAGCTTTGCCTTTAATCAATTAGAAGGAAGAGTGGGATGAAGAGGAAGAACATTTGAGGCTCTGGTGTTGGGCAGAGAGAAATGGCATTTCCCAGCTTTTCCCACACAAGCAGCAGGAACATTTGCCACAGTGCAAGATGGAATCTGAGGGAAGGTTTTTCATTTATCAAAATGTCCAAGAGAGCTCAGCTGCCCCAGCCAGAGCAGTGCAATTCCACACTCCAAGCAGAGCTTTGGAATGTGTTTGGGTTTTTTTAAAGATGATGTTTACCCTGGCTAATTAATATGAGAGAAGGTTTCTGGTTTGTGCATGTTCTCCTGTGTTAACAAGGCCTTGGATGGGTTTGATTATCCACTTTGGAATGCTGCCCCGTGACCAGGGAAAGCCATCAGATATTTCAGTAAATAGCTTTGTTTACAAGGGGCTGCTCAGAAGAATTATTTGGAATTAATGTTTTAAAATAGATTAATTAAATTACATTAAACTTGTGTGTGGAAAAGCTAATCTGGAATTCAGGTGAATTTAATTTAGTTGCTTACAAATATTAATTTACTTAATTAAACAAAGGCTGATTGAATTCTGTGTTAAGTGTATCAATTCTGAGTAAGAGTATTGGCAGAGATATTTAATGTAATTTATCTAATCAGCTTTAAATTTATATCTTTAGTTGTGTGTGATGAGTTTTATTGAGTATTCCAGTACTGGAGCCCCAGTTCCAGGCAAGTGCTTACAGGGATGCTCAAGGTTTTTTGCTCCTGTTTTTGAGGGAAAATGAGATAATTTTTAGTTGTAGCTTCATTTATCCAGCAGGAGCAGGTGTCTGCTGGGATTATTGGATCAGAGGAACAAAGTGGGGTCTGGCCTGGAGTGGGGAAAGGGGGGACAGTGGAAGAGCTGCTCTGGTAATGGGCTGCAAGAGCTCTGAGGGGTTAGAAACGTTTGGGGAAGCTGGGATTTCACAGAATTGGTTATAGAGGGTGGGAAGGAGCTCTGGGATCACCCAGCTGTGCCCAGTCCCCAGCCCAGAGCTCTGAGTGCCACCTCAGGAATTCCTGGGACACCTCCAGGGATGGGCACTCCAACCCTCCCTGGGCAGTTCCAATCCCTGACCCCCCTTTCCATGGGGAAATTCCTGCTGCTGTCCACCCTGAGCCTGCCCTGGCCCAGCCTGAGGCCGTTCCCTCTGCTCCTGTCCCTGTTCCCTCCTGGCAGGAGCTGTGCAGAGCCAGCAGGGCCCCCCTGAGCTCCTTTTCTCCAGGCTGAGCCCCCTCAGCGCCCTCAGGACTCTCCAGCCCCTCCCCAGCTCCATTCCCTTCCCTGGACACGCTCCAGCCCCTCCAGGTCTCTCTTGGAGGTGCCCAAACCTGACCAGAACCCTCAGCCGTGCCCAGCACAGGGGACAGTCCCTGCCCTGGGGCTGTGGCCATGCCAGGGCTGGTGCCAGCCAGGTGCCAGTGGCCTCCTGCCCTCCTGGCACACCTGGGCTCCTGTTCAGCCCCTGTCCCCAGTATCCCCAGTCCCTTCCCAGCTTTCCAGCCTGGAGCTCCAGGGGTTGTTGTGAGCCAACGGCCCTGTGGAACCTCATGGATCCAGGCTGGCCCCTTTGGAGGCACCAGGGAATTGGGAGTGAAGGGAGGAGGAAATCCCTCCGGGACACACCATAACCTGTTCCTCACTTTCAGAGTTGGAGGAGCCCCTGGAATTCTCTGGGAGAATCCAAAAGTGCAGCACAGATCCACCAAAAGCACTGGGCTGGAATGGTGTGAGCCTGGCTGGCCAGGAACTCCTTTAATGGAATATTTTCCAGTGCCTGGTAGAACCTCCTTCCCCATCCCCTCTCCCAGACAGGGTCAAAGTGACCATAAAATATTCCTGTGTTGATCCAACTCCATGTGCTGCTTGGGGAGGAGAAGTGGGCACGTTCCTTGGCCCTGCTGTGGTTTATCCCCAGCTTCCTGACTTTCTGTTAATATTTCTTTTTTATAACTGAAAATTTGTTCCTGGGAATAGTTCAGCACTGGTGGCTCCATGCCAATGTACATACACTTAATTTAGATTTAATGGGGACTAGAGTTTCAGACAGGAGGTGGAAAAAAGGGGGAATATAGAGGAAATTTCAAGAAAAAGAGTGTTTTACGTGAGGAAACGCTGGTAAATACTTCACTGAGTAAAGTACATGGAAACCATAATGGCAAAGTTACTCTGAATTTGTTGACTGAAGCTTTTGAAGCTGATAAACTCCTCTGACTCTCATCCTGCTAAATTTTATCAGGCTTTCCCCCTTGGCTCTGAAAGCAAGGTCAGCCCACTGGTAAAATTTACTGTTAGAAATGGGAATGGGGAATTTGGGAGAGGGACTCTTTATTCAAGGTGTGAAAACTGCAGTGGCTGCAGCTTCCTTGGGTGTTGCTTTCCTAATCCCCAGGGTTCATAACAAATTTATTTGTTATTTTGTTTGTATTTGTTTGCTTCCCTCTTTACGTTTTGATCCAGGATGGCAGCAGAAGGGAATTTTGTCCTGGCTTTGAAAACGCAGAATTGTGGCTGATTTGTTCCAAGTTGTGTCTGACTTAGTGAAATTGGAATAAAATTCATTTAAATGGAAATAAATACTGGTGTTATGAACACACATTTCTCTGTGTGTGCTGTAGCTGCTCTGCCAGTTGTAGGTTGGTGGTTGTGCCCTTGTTTCCAGGCTCTGGGACAGAATATTTGGGTATTCCTGAGGTGAAGTTGAACACTTGCAGCCTATGGCCCCTGAAAGGTGGATAATGGATGCTGGAAACAGGAAATCATTTGAAAAAAGGTTGAAATTAGTGATTTTTAAAATTTAACTTTGAATGCACATGGTTGGATCGTTGAGTTGTCTGTGCAGGGCCAGGGGTTGGATGATCCATGTGGGTCCCTTCAAACTCAGGATTTTTTGTGCTAAATATGTGAAATATTAAAGTGGATTTATACATTTTTACAATTTAATTGCAATACAATTACTGCAATTCCTTCAGAGGAGAAATTTGTTGCTGTGAGTGGTTTCAATGCAACACGTGCAGCATCAGTGAGTCCTGTCATAACCAACTAAATTACAGTGACTCCTGTAAATAATAAGCTTTTTAACACTTGTGATTTGTTCTGATTTGGCCTTTTTTAGCTTTTGCAGTGCTGGATGTGTCCCCTGAAGCCGAGGGCAGGGCTCTGCTGGTGCAGGCCACGTGTGACAGGATGGAACAGCACAGCTGCTTTGTTCTGCTCAGCCTGGCCGGGCACCAGGACTTCTCAGAAATGGCAAATTTCACTTGCCAAAACGGCATCCACAAGCACGGAAGGACTGCCAGGGTTTTTGGGCTTGCTGCCACACTCTGTGCTGGCCCAAAAGTCTTTCACCATGAGCAGAATTTCAAGTGACTCAGTGCTGGCAGTGCTGGTATTTTGGGTAAACAGTTTGGACATGTGGGGAGGCCTCCTCAGAATCCTTCTCTGGGTTGTGTTGCTCTCCTAAAAATTTATCCTCTCCATGTCTGGCCTGATGGATTTCTTGGGCTCCAGTGGAAGAGGAAAATCATTGTGCATAGTTGGATTTGGTTCCATGTCCGTGTTAATGGATGAATTATCATTTCCATCAGTGAATCTCCATTTATCTCTCCAGTGTTTTTTACTCCAGGTTAAAAAAGGGGAAAAAAAATCCACTGATCTCTTGGTATTCCTTGTGCAGCCCTTTGTAAAATGGGAGAAAGCACAGCTAGGAGAGATTGAAGTGATTCTATTTCAATTTTACAAGTTGAAGGTTTCTCTTCAAACACTAATAAATAAGCTGGACTGAGAATTCCAGGGGAGTAAAGCTCTGGTGTGGATTGGAGCTTTGTGAGCTTTGAGAGTGTGAACCTGAAAGTTCTCCTTATCCCGGGAATGTGCAGGGAAAGCAAGGAAAGCTTCAGCTCCTGGGGCAGGGAGATTCCTCCTGGGGGGGCTGCAGGAGCTGAGCTGTGGATGCCATTGCATGATCCCTTGTAGCTTGGTCATTTCTCTGAGAACTGAATTTTTGATAAAAGGAAAATGTAAAACTGAAGGCCTTGGTGCTGTCTGAGATGTTTCACAAATATTAACCCTGTCCTTGCTGCTGTTTTGCAGGAGTGCATGCCTGGGCCAGCTCTGCCCTGGGGAGCTGCAGTGGTGCCTGAGGGGTTTTGCTGCAGGTTCTGAATGATGTCAGAGCAGGATTTGGCAGATGTGGTTCAGATTGCTGTGGAGGACCTGACTCCTGATAATCCAGGTAGGAAGAGATTTCCAGCAGTGCCCATTAACTGGAAATCACTGCTGAGCTTTTCTTTAAAATACAAACCAGGGTTTTGTTCCAAAAAGTGCTTTTGAAGCCCATGTCCTATGATTTCCAGAGCTTCACTTGTGTATCTCCAAACCCTTTAGATCAGATTTTTTTTTTTTATTTCACTTTTCTCTTTATTGCCTGTTTGTTTTTTGTGCAGGGATAGACTAACCCCAAAAACAATGAAATATTTCTGCAGTCTTGTTTTTTTCCATGGTTTAGGCTTTTCCTCTAATGGGAACCGTTCTCCATGCATTAGGAATTGTTTTATGTGTAAGACACTTTGTCTCATCCATTATTAAAATTCTTTGGACAGTCAAATTGAAAAACACTTCTGAAAGTGATATTTGGATATCACTTGCTCAGAAATTGACTTCCTGAGTGAAATTATATTGAGATGTTGGTCCTGTGTGGCTATTGCAAGTAAGAACAGTAATGGAAATGAGAGACATGGGCCAAAAAACTGCTTTTCTGATACAAAATGAAAAAGTTGCTCAGAAATGATCCCAAAGAGTTGGAGAAGAAGCTGGGGCCTGCCAGTCCTTCCAAAGTCTTTGCTCAGCTTGGTAGAGGAACTCAAACCTGGCCCCATCACCACTGTCAGAGATGTGAAAGAAACGCCGAGCAAGTGTCAAAGAACACATCAAGTATCTTAATTAAATTTACATGCTTTTGTTTTTTCCACTTACTGTATTTTTAATTTGAGCTTCGTCCTCTCAAGCTCTAAACTCTGGCAATGCTTTTTTTTCCCTTTGCAGTTGTGTTGGAGAACCATGAGGTGGCAGATGATGATGTGGAACCTGCCCTGAAACGTCAGAGGATAGAAATCAACTGCCAGGATCCCTCTATTAAGGTTATTTCATGCCCTTTCCTGGGTTTCATTTTAATACCAATTAAGTTTAGGGGAAGTTATTACAGTAACATAAAATAAACTGTTTATACCTAATACTGGAATTATTCTGGTAGGTACTTGTGCATTTTTGGGCATAAATTTTAAAATCTGGATAATTGTCTAATTTTCCAGTGTAGAATTAGTAGCAAGAATTTCAAATGCAATATAAATATCATCAGAATTAATTCCACTGTCCCAAACTTCAGTATTGGGACATTTTTTGATAAAGTAAATGAAGTTGACCAAAAAGATGAACTTGAGGATGTATTTGTGTTACAATTTGTAGATACTTTCAGCATGTTTGAAGTTGTTATTTGAAGCTAACAGCATTCTCCTCATAGATAATTCACATTTAATTCTGGCTCAGGAGTTCAGAAGTCACCCTGCTGTGATTCAGGGTTGGTTTTTGCCCTGCAGTGTCAATATCTGATGAGTATTTCAGTGCCACAGACACTGTCCTGTGTAGTTCTGCATTTTTGGGGTGATCCCAGGAGCTGGAGCAGTGTGAAGGAGGGGTTTGGGGTGCTCAGTGACTGCAGGGCCACAAGATGGCACAGCTGCTGTTTGCAAAGCACACAGAGTGCAGCTCTTCCCTTTAATGGTCTGTTTTCCCAGGAGAACCCAAGTGGAATATGTTTTCTTTTAAAAAAGATTGCTTAGCAAAACAGATTTTATTTATTTGCTTTTCTTGATTTGCTGTTCAGCAGGAAGCTGAAGTGACTGGCATTAATTGTCTCTGAGATTTTTTGTGTTGATACAATTTCCACTGTAATTTATCTGTTTGGGCAGGAGAAAAACTTGCTAACTTTATCCAGGAGGATGCATCCAGAGATTTATAATCCTTTTGTTTTCACATGTGGACTGCAAGGCTTTGGCAAGCCATTAGAAATGATTTTGCAGTGGATGAAATCATCCTGACAAAGTGCTTAGGTGAAAATGGCTTTGGCTGGGCTGCTTTTGGCTCCCAAATAAAGATCTGGAAGAATGTGAGCCTGCTGAAACGCTCCTGGATGTCATCAGGGGTGGATTTTGTCACTAGACAGGCTGTGAGTTCCTTTAGGATTGCTTCCCAGTCACGTTTACCCGGAGCTTCCTCAGGAGTGGGGATAAACTCGGAGTGTTCAATGCGGCTTCTTCTCCCTCCCCAGTCGTTCCTGTACTCCATCAACCAGACCATATGCCTGAGGCTGGACAGCATCGAGGCCAAGCTGCTGGCCCTGGAGGCCACCTGCAAATCCCTGGAGGAGAAGCTGGACCTGGTCATGAACAAGCAGCACAGCCCCATCCAGGTGCCCATGGTGGCCGGGTCCCCGCTGGGCGCCACCCAGACCTGCAATAAAGTCCGATGGTAAGGACACAGCACTGCCCGCTTCCCTAAAAACCCCCAAATCCAGGAGCTGGCCATTTCCTCCTCTCTGTGCAGCTGGCAAGAAGCTGGTGGTGGAGGTAGAGTTCATTTTTCTTCTTGAGGGTAATTTTTAGCAGTTTGATGTTGCTCAGAAGCAGACGGACCTGGTCATGAACAAGCAGCACAGCCCCATCCAGGTGCCCATGGTGGCCGGGTCCCCGCTGGGCGCCACCCAGACCTGCAATAAAGTCCGATGGTAAGGACACAGCACTGCCCGCTTCCCTAAAAACCCCCAAATCCAGGAGCTGGCCATTTCCTCCTCTCTGTGCAGCTGGCAAGAAGCTGGTGGTGGAGGTAGAGTTCATTTTTCATCTTGAGGGTGATTTTTGTATCAGTTTGATGTTGCTCAGAAGCAGATGCTGGTCCAGGGACAGTTTGAAGCTCTCCCCACTTTTCATCCTGACTTAAACCAGACTCCTTCATCCATCCCCTGGAAAAGCCTCAGCAGCTCTTTCAGACAGGTTTTTGAGACTTGCTCTGCTTTTATTTATAGCTGTTTTGACTTAATGAGTTCATCATCATTCTAATTGCTTCTCATTTTACTTCTCTTCACCAGAAGTACAATGGACTGTGTTTTATGAGCTTGTTTGCTAAAGAATCCTGCTAGAAAAAGATCTGTGCTTATTTTGGAGTTAGAAGCTGGAGATGGAAAATCTGTTGAATAATCTAATGCACTTTGCTGAAAGAGCAGGCTTGACCTGCAGTCCCTTTGTGTCTCACTCCCCTAATGTGGTTTTAAATACCTAAATCTTGATGTGTCTGTCATCTTATCATCGAGGTGATCCCTGCCAGAGAAATCTGCTTAACAAAAGACTCTTTTCTCCAACACTTCTTCCTCCTTTTTCATTTTTTTATAGCTGGAAAACACTTCATAGTGCTCTGAATAACTACTTTTTACTCTCTATTACAAAGGTGTGCAGGCATTTAATTTTTCTTTTAAGCAGGTGCTGTGTCTGCTTTTACCTCAGCTTTTGAGGGCTTCATACACTGAAAAGATGAATTATGGCTGAGTTGTGTAATAGAAACAAAGTACCTGCAATAAGGACTTGGATCACAGAGGAAGTAACCAGAGTTTTACACCAGGGCTTTTGCTAAATACTCTTTTCTCAATAATAATTCTTCAAGAACCTTCTTGAAATCTGGGCTGAATTTTTTTGTTGTTAATTTAGAGATCTTCAAGTTCTTGTGCACGAGCTGAACTTTTTGCTGTGGTTTGTGCACAAAAGGCTTCAGAAACCATTTCAGGAACCCACGGCCCCTTTGGGACCCTATTAATTCATGCTCAGTGAATGCTTTCCTCTGTAAATTGTACTGCTTTGAGTTTCTGAAGGAATTTGTCAGACCTGAGCTGCTTGGTTTGGTTTGGTTTGTTTTTAAATCTCTGCAACCATCAGAAACTGTCCTGGCTGTTGATAGTGCTTCATCTTTTGGTTTGGGTTACAGATTTTTGCTGACAGCTCCTCAGCCAGTCTGACCATCATTTAGATGGAAGTCTTGAAGAAAGCAGGAATCTCTGCCCCAAATATTTGTTGCTGTTGGTCTGAAGTTGCACATTATCAGAGGTGTGATGCCAGGAGAGCACTGAAGGCTTTTTGTTCTGGAGCAGACTGTGGCCTGTGGGACTTGAGAGAAAATAGGGCTGGATGTTGAATTTGGCACTGGGGACACTCCATTTGCACAGGGACAGAATGTTTTCCTGAATTCCCTGTCTTTCATCCATAAATCCCTTTATCACTTGTTGATTGTTTCCAATTAAAGGCTATTCCATTGTACCTTCTGTGTCCTTCCCTCTGCCCCATCTGTCACAGAAGGCAGAGCTTCCCATAGGTTTGGGATAGGAATTTGCAGATTGTCCACAGGAATGGGATTCTCCAGCCTCCTTCTCCTCCTCCTGCCACCAAACTCGTGCTGGGTTTGCTGCTGTAACAAAAAGTTGTGGTTATTAAAGGCTGTCAGGGAAGATGGTGCTGCACTGGCAGGAGAGCAGCTCTTGGGAAAAAAAATGGGAATGAATCCAGTAAATACCTTGGGATCCTGGCTGAGAGTTGGGCCTGTGGGAATCCATGAGCTGGGGGTGCTGGTGGGTGGGGGGCTGGCCTTGATTCTGCCCCTCAGGTGAGACCCCACCTGCAGAGCTGCCCCAGCACAGGAGGGACCTGGAGCTGCTGGACAGAGCCCAGAGGAGGCACCAGGATGAGCAGAGGATGGAGCAGAAAGGCTGGCAGAGCTGGGATTGTTCACCTGGAGAGGAGAGGAGAAGCTTTGGGGTGACCTCACTGTGGCCTTGCAGGACCTGAAAGAGCTGCAGGAAACATGGAGAAGGACACAAGCTGGAGGGACAGGACAAAGGGAATGGCTCCACTGCCAGAGGGCAGGGCTAGCTGGGATAGTGGGAAGGAATTATTCCCTGGGAGGATGGGAGGCCCTGGCACAGATTCCCAGAGGAGCTGTGGCTGCCCCTGTGCAGGCACAGAGTTTGGGTGATTGTGAGTGGGGCTGGCCCAGCCCCATCCCCGGTGGGTCCAGCTGTGGAAGCAGCTGAGCAGCACTGACAGCAACCATGGAGTGCCCAGGTGTGCTGAGCAACCACCCAGGGAGCAGAGGGCACCCAGGGGCAGGGCATGGACGTGGGGGGACAAAAGGCTGGGCTGAAGGACGGGAGGAGCAGATGCCAGAAGCTTTCTGAAGGGACAGGATGTTGCTCTCTAGGGGCAGGCACCTGAAGCCTTCTGGTGTTACTGTGTATGGGGGAATGCTTAAAGCCTTCTGAAATTGTGTGCTGTGCCATGTGCTGTGACACCCCTGGAAGTGCCCAAGGCCAGGCTGGAGGTGTTCAGCTGTAAATGGAGGAAATCCAGGGGTAAATGGAGCTCAGGTGTTTTCCTGGGCCTATGTTTTTATTGCTACAGGTGAAATACAGACCACAAGCATCTGTTTCTGTTCCATATGCATTTGTGGCTAATTGACAACAAGTACAGAGATAAAAACATTTATACTTTTGTCTTTAATGAGAGTGGGACAGTAGTAAATGGAACTGTAGATTAATTGCACTCAATTAATGAGCCAAAATCCATCCTGGTGTCCTTGAACAAAACTCGTTGGTGGGGGGGGGTTGAACACTGGCTAATTAATGTGGCTAATTAATCCTCAGATGCAATTTTGTACCAGATGGGATGTTTGAATGTGCTGTATTTTTGTAGGTGTGGATCATTGAAATGTTTGTTTTACCATTGAATTTAATCAGCAGAACAGTTTAATTGAATTTGGAGAACAAGACTTGTCCACCCACTTTGCACTGTGCCATTTGGCAAAGCCTTCCTTGGCTCCACATCCCCCAGATTCCAGAGCTGTGTTTCTGCTCATTGTTTCCTTGTTTACGAGTGGGTTTGGGGTCAAATAATGCAAAATTGAGAGTTGAAATGATCTGAAATGAGGTTGTAAAGCAGAGAATGTGGTGTGAAATGAATTGTAGGGTGACTGTTCTAGATTTAGTAAAAAGACTGTTGCTCCTGCATAAAACCTTTAGGAAAACAAACAAACCTAAAGAAATATAATCAAGGTATTGGTGTATAAACCCTAAAATAGCCAGAATTCTATTTTTAAAATTTATATATATCTATATATTTATTCTTTCTGTGAGTTACAAACCCCTTGGCCAACCTAATTACATTTTTATCAGGAGAATTTTTACTGATTATAATAAACTACCCCACTATGCTAATCCAGACTTTTAGAAGAAATAATAATTCCTCAGTCCTTATCAGTGAGCAGTGGCTGCTGAGTCTCTTCCCTGTGTTCACTGCAGTTGATATTATAACTCATTAGGAGATGTAAACCACTTTATATCCTTTTATTTCACTCAGTGATAAATAAATTAACATTGGGAACCTTCAGGATTTTTGCTGGTTTTAACTCAGTTTAAGAGCTAATTGTTCCTTCCTGGAATTGCTTCTGAAGACCCTGAATTTGCAGGAAGATTTTAATTGATTTATTTGGGAACAAAACATGGATTGAGGAGCAGAGGATCAGGCAGGGTGAAAGGTTTCTTTTCAAGGTGCAGGTCCATGAATCAGCCTGGAAAAACATTTCCCTGGAAGCTGATTCAGCCCTGGAGACAACTCAGCAGTGCCTGGGGCTGAGGGGGAGTCAGAGGGTCAGAAATTCGGGGTGAGCTCTCAGGGTTTGATTTGGAGGAGCTTTGGAGTTTGCAGGAATTCTGCAGCAATCCAGGTTTATTTCTCCTTGGCCTTTCTGGGGCCCCACCCAGCAGCAAATGTGCAAACAGTGAATTCTGGGAGGCCTGGACACGACCACAGCTGGACTTTTGTCCTTGTTTGGGATGGAGGAATGGGATGGAGGAATTCCCAACCTTTCCCTGGCTGTCAGCAGTCTCTGTCACGGGAGCAAACGTTTGTTTGGAATTCCATAAAAAATTGCAAACAATTTTTTTTTGAATGTTTGAGTTCTGGGGTCACAGCTGGGATTCTCCCAGGTGGAATTCAGGGGCTGTTTTCCTGAAGGATTGAGGAGGAAGGGGCTGCAGGAAAATGGCACAATTGTTTGGGGTCTGTTCTCACCACCTTCATTTTGGTTTGGGGAAAGAGAGTCAATATTGACAATGATGAAATCATCATTAACACTTCATGAATTAAAAAATCCTGCTAAGAATCACAAGATTTTTAAAGAGTACAGAAGTGGAAGCAAAATTTGGATATTTTTGAGTAAAATAATTTGGTAAAGTGACATTTCAGTTTAGGGGGTAAGAATTTGAATGGTTTTTCAGAATTTCATGAATTGGGCCACAAAACTGTTGCTTTTCCAGCCTTTTGAGTCCCCTGTTTTCAGTTCTGATAAAGAGATCAAGGGGTTTCCACACATCATTTGTGTATGAACACTCTGTTTTCAGGTTGAGTTTGTGAATTGTTTTGTGTGGTTTTGTA